CCCCCTAAGGCACAGTAATGCCTCCACAGGCTACCAGGAAAACTTCTTTTCCCACACAAAACTATCCAGAGGCAGCTTTGGTGCTCACGGTGTGGCCAGGAGAGCTCAGCAGAGTAGCTCCTGTGGCATGGGAGATCAGCAAGTGTGTGCAGGGGAGAAGGATGAGAAGGGTTAAAGAAAATGTGTTCAAAAAGGAGTTGTGTTGGCACTAATTCAGTCTTATCTTCAAAGATAAAACCAGGAGAAGAATTAAAGGCCCCCGCTGACACATGACCCACTATGGGTAAGTTGTAAGAGGCTTTTTACACAAAGGAGTATTTAAGATTTACCACCTCTGGGAACTCGGATCCCTGACAAGGGACCCCAGAGCAGGGGTTTCCATGCACTCAGCCACATGGATGCCTAAGCACAGGGCAGGTCCCCCTGCCCTGGGCCTGGCTGGCAATTAGAGCCACCCCTCGGGATCACCCCCCGGTCAGGCTTGCATCCTGCTCACACCTAGGGCCAAGGCAAAGGTTTTGTGATTTCTGAAACCTCTGCCCTGCAGGGTCTCGGTAATCAGCCTTAGCCCAGACAGTACGTCGGTCCCACCTCCCATGGAGATGTATAATCTCTTCTTTTGGGTTAGTTTTCCAGGTTTGCTGGCAGACAGCAGCAGGACGGGTGGTGGATAGCTGAGTGACCATGCAAGGGCACGCAGCAGAGCGGGTGGGTTATCTAAAGCTGTAACCTCCACGAGTCCTGTCACAGATAGATGGGCAATTGGGTGTTCAGTCAAACCCTCTGCCTTCCTTATCTTTCTTAATTTTGTTTTTGTTTCCTTCTTATTATCTCTTTTGAATAACGCCATGGCTGTGAAAGGCCACATCCTGGCCCCCCAGGAGGCCCCAGACAGGATGCTGAGCCAGGAGCAGGGACAAGCAGCAAGCTGGGGTGAGATGGAGAAGGCACAAGGAATCCCTGCCAGACCCCACATGAAAACAGGGCTGCACCCCACCCAGATCTGCAGGACAGCAATCACCACAAGGAGAAGGAAGAGAGAAGACCGCAGCAGTGAGAGCCTGCTGCCAGAGAACAATGGGGAGCCAGCACCCCTGCCTTGGATGAAGAGGAGATAGATGGCAACCAGAAGGGTGTGCCCACCACTTCAGTGACCTGTCCTGGGCAATCCTTCCGAAATGAGTTCCCAAGACCAGGCTGGCTTAGTGTAACCCATAAGTAGAAAAGCAATTACCTGGGTAAAGCCAAAGAACATACAGGTAGCCTGGCCATGGTGGGAAAAGCCAAGGTGACAGCTCTGGATGCCCTTGATGAAAGGGCACTGGCAGTTTCAGGCATGCCTTGCTGCAGAGTTATCCAGCTCCATCCTCTCCTCCTGTCCCACCCCTCCCCTCCTGCACATTTTACTCTATTTCACTCAGTAAAAGTCACCTCACTCCAATTAAGCCACATGCCAGCCAAACAAAGTTCCCAAGATTTCCCCAGCTGTAGCAAAACCCTGTCCTCAGCCTGCAAGTAACGTGAGCGGGTGATGGGAGATTGGGTGTGACACAAATGACTGAGCATCCTCCTGAGGCCATGCCAAATTTCTAGGGAAAAGAGCTGTGAAGAGTGGGATTGACAGACCCATGGTGGCAGAGCCACTTCCCCGCCTCAGTCAGCATGGTCACTTTTGGCTATGCTTCATGATCAAAGCACAAGCTTTCAGTCTTAAAATCCATCTGACTTTTCTCTCTGGACATAACTGGCAAAAGTAGAACACAGATAATTTTGTCTGGTCAATGACCAATGAGATGCCAAATGCTTGGTCAATGCCAAAAGTCAGCCTAGAAACATAGCTGATGCAAGCTCTCTACTCTGCCTCTCCTGTGGAAAACTTAGGATGCACCCTTACAGAGGCTGGCATCCATTTGTGGTGACCATACAACTTAAGTATCCACAAATGGTTTAAATAGAAGTGCTAACATTACCTGATAGGAGGTACCCTAACAATGGGTGAGGTGAAGATGGGGACCTTCACAGTAAGTGTTAACAGTGACATTCCCACAGGAGGGCGAGATCCTTGTTGCTATATCCATCCTTTCATGCCAATAACCAAACCCATCTGAGCTTGGACACCGTCCACTGCGCCCAGTCTCACTCTGACATAAACCCCAACTCTACAGACTTGGTCTCGATACCAGAGGTTAAAAGGCAAACAAAAAGACTCTAGCAAAGACGCTAACAAGCAAAAATAAATAAATGAAGAAGTCTCTGATATCACTGCAAACCACATAATTTGTGTCTTTTGCAACTGCCAGTTTGCTTTGCTTCCACAGCAATAAAGATGAAAAAAAAAATGCCTGACGTCTTCAAAACCCTTTACAAGAACTCATTAATCAGTAGTACAGGCCATCACAAATCTCACTTCCCCCAAACACTTCTGTTGGGAAGGTCTTACACTGCCTTGGTCTCCTTATCTGTGACAGGGAGACAGATTAACTGATTTACCCAAGGCCAAGCTGTGACTCAGAGCTAGGAGCAGAAATCAGGAGTTTCTGGCTCTTGCTCTTTTTTCTTAAAGACTGCAAAAGAGCCTGCTGTGCTTTCATCCTCTTCAGGTGCTTAAAACTAGCTTCAGGTTCGCAATAAAGTAATTTTCCATCCTAAATACAACAGTTTCCTGCCTCTAGATGCAGAGATCTCCCAACAAGCCCTGCAAAACTGGAAGCTGGCCTATTCTGAATCGCTCTGGAGCATCAGAGACAACTGCATCTTATCAGTGTTAAAGCTGGGGCTTAAGTGTGGTTCATTATTTAAAGTAAGAATGGGAAGAGAAGACTGCAGCCAGGCTCTGTGCAAGCACAGGGCTTTCCCTCTGGCTTCTACCTACCACTTACCCAATGCAGGGGTTGTTTTGGTATCTTGGTGCCGTGTAGGAGAAAGGAGAAATGTTTTTGTCCACAAAAGAGCCAAAGCCCAGCCGGAAATTGCTAGTGAGCTTTCGCATCTCTTCAGCGAGCTTGGTTCCCAGATTGCGAATATTGTCTAGGTCGTCGTTCATGGACAGGGAGAGGTCCATCAGGTAGTAGAGGTCCACGGGATAGTCCTCCACCTGCCGGACCTGAACGCGGAAGGAGGTCTGGTCACCTGCATACAAACAAGAGTTGAGAGCAGTGAAAAGGAAACTCCTAGCACATATAAAATCCAGACCACATGTTGTTGGTTTTTTTTCCCACCCAGAGCAGACACATCACTTGCAAAAGAAGACATTGAAGGGAACAAATTTTTCCAAATTCATCCCTTAGGAGACTAACAGGAAAGCAAGTAATGCCTGTGTGTCCTCTTAAGCTCTGTACTGTGCTGGCTGGCAAGAAAAAGACACGTCTATAGAAGTGCATCTCTCTATTTTACTTTGGAGATACGAGAAGGGGTTTTTCCATCTCAGCTGAGATAATGTCTGTGGGGAGGACACTTGAAAAATGCTGCTTCCATGGACTGTGTACAGTCCAGGAGTGTTCTCCTAGAAAACTGGAAAGAAAAGCAAGCAGTGTAAACCTGAAATGGATGTTACAAATGGACTACTGAAAGAGGGACCATGCAGACGCTTACTTGGGTATGTCCTCAAAGCAAACCCAGGGCAGTTCAAGAAGTCCTGCACAAAAGAGAGAAGGAGGTGGAGCAGGAGAAGGAAGAGGGTCAGGAGAAAACAGCCAGCATAAGATGAAAGCAAGATGTCCTCTGAGCTGTGCAGGGAAGTCAAAGCAGACACTGAAGAAGCACCTTTGAAAAGGACCTCTCCACTGAAAAACAGCTGTGCCATAGTGATTCTGGAGAACGCAGGGCAAAAGGGAAGCGAACTGACAAAATAAGGCTGTTTGGGACACCCGGGGAAGGACCAAGGCAAACATGAAGCTTCTTGAAGTGATTAACGCATGGGAAGGAACTGATGGGGCTGAGTCATAGGCTGTGCAAATGTGAGGAAGAGCAGAGAAAAGCTTTCCCCCGACCTTCCCCTTTACCAAACCACTTCCACCAGGGATGCCCCTCAGAAGCTGTGCCAGGAGAGGAGGCCACTGCTGGGACTGCTCATGCCTCAAAAAAGGTGGGTGACTTCAAAGTGAATTCAGCTTCACAGCAGATAGACCTCAGAAGAGCCATGGAGGAAGTGGCAAATGTTTGCCTGATGCTTTGCAGGCAGACGGGTCTACATGGAAACCCCAGACTACAGTACCCTCAGACTCCAGGCTGGTTTGAAGATCCCATGTCCTCAGCTGCCACCTCAGCCCCTTTTCCAGCTCAGTGAGGCCTCAGAGCCAGGGACCCAGATCCTCATTACCAAGCTCCCCCTCCTGCCCACCTCTCCCAGCTCCTCATGGCTGAGGCTGAACTTTGGGCACTGGCAGGTTCTGCAAGAAATACATGACTTCCCCTCTTCTTTCCCAGAAATGAAACACACATTTTTTAGTATTGTGAAAATATTTCCCTAACCATTTTATTGTTCTCCTCACTGCATGCAGCAGCACAGCTGCTCCCACTTACTTCCAGCCCAACGACACGGAGCAGCAGCATCCCAAAACTGCTGGGCTGGCAAGACATGGCACAAGGGGCTTTGCAGTCCAGCAAGCAGGAGCCCTGCAGGGCACCTGGAGTTGCACCATGTTGAGTCACACACAGGGTCAAACACCCTCTCCACTCCTTCAGCAAAGAAGCTGGGGTCCCAGCACCCAGGGGGATGTGCATAAAAGTCAGAGCCTGCCTTTTGTGCAAACAAAGCTGTGAAGGGTTTACAGCTGGCTCTGCTCTTTGCCCCATCAGTTCTCTGTGCATCTCAGCTAGCTCAGGGTGCCAGAGGAGTCAGCTACAGCTGCTAAACCAAGACCTTCCCTCTATTTAATGATTTCCCTGCACATTCAGATCAAGGGTTGCTTCCAAGACAGGGCTTCTTTCTTGGAGGTAATCGCTCCTCCCTGCAGGCTGCGACAACCCTGCCTGGCAAAGGTTGGGCTGAGAGACGCTCCCTGACAAACCCACACATGGGCACTGCCCAGGGAGCAGCTGGAGGAAGCAGGGAACTCCTGCCCTTGTACAGTGAAAACCTGTTAGCACAGATTGCAAGCTAACAAACCATGATTGCAAGCTTGACTTTAACTCAGTGCTGCAAAAATGCGTTTCACTCCAGGAAAATTCTTTCTCATGCCTACTTTTTTCATTCCTGTGTATTTTTCCCACTGGAATACCCAACCCATTCAGAAAAAGAGGTTGTGTCCTTCTGCATTTCCCCACATTTCCGTTTCCAAAACACTGGTCTTCCTGAGCAGGTCCTAAGATGGGAAAAGTGCCAGAAATAGTATTTGTGACACTCTGATCAAACATTCTTCTCTTAATAGTTACAAATCTATTAGTCCCAGAGAAGCACCAAAAACAACAGGATCCTGGGCCTCGTTCTTCTTTCATTACTAATTGCACAAATCAGTTATCTCAGATAAAAAATCACTAATGGATGTAGATGTACGTGCAAAGGAATTTATTATTCTCTGTGCACAGTGTTAAGTCTTACACTTCCATGGCTAAATCAGCCCCCTCCTTCCCCACACATCGTCATCGTGATCCTCTCCTTAGGGCTTTTACTGAAAAGTTTTAAACTCAAAACTGCATTCAGAAATATTTCTTGGATACTGTCAAGCAGAGGCAGTCCAGAAACTGGAAAAAATTGCTTTTGGCCAATTTAAGAATACAAACTCAACAATCATGCTTATCCAAGAAAAGCTTTTATCTACTTGGTGAGGCTTACGCTGTGATGGGCAACACAACCTGCACCTATGAGGTTTTTTAATTCCTTTTACAGTACTCATATTTTTCATGTAACCAGGACACATGGCTTTATAGCTGGACCCAAGATTAAAAAGCAATATTATAGAAACTAAATGCTCAATCTGGAAGTTACCCTGTAAGGATAAGGACACCAGTTTAAGGCCTTCAGAAATTAACTGTGGACACAGAGATTTGGGGATGTGACTTCTGCCACAGGACGATTAGATCAAACTGCCTGGGTGGGAACGGCAAACAACTGACAATTCCCTCCCTTCTGCTTTTGCTTAGCACTCTAAGAGTAAAAGATCACCATTGCCACAGACCACCGTGTGAATTCATCTTTGAAATAGTACACCCTTCATGCCCAAAATTAAATCAACACTGTCTCCTTTTTCTCTTGGGTTCACAGGGTGAAGCCCATTCTCAAGATCAAGGATTAATGGAAAATTTAAACTGGCGATGCTAATACGAGGGTTTAGGAAGTCATCAGCCATAAGATGGAGTGCTGCCCAACATCAAAAGAAGAGCAAACATGGGAGATACTATTACAAACATCTAGGTATGTCCCTGCCTCCTGCAATAACTTTGATGCTCTGCCAGGGGAGCGCAGGGAGGGGAGCTCACCAGCTCAGCGTGGGAAGCAATGTGGGGGCCCTCAGGGCAACTCCTGCACTTCAGCCCAGACCTGGAGGGCTTCTCTGCCATCCAAGAGAGCTGAAGATGGCCACGACTGACCGTGGTGCCCTGCGAGGCTTGGCAGGAACAGCACATCAGCCCTGTGCAGCCCAAAGAGTGTGACTGCACAGCCCCCAGGAAGCCCCAGGGAGACAGACCCCATGCCCTGCTGCTGGCCAGAGCAGTGGGCATCTGCACCTCATCCAGTGGGCAAAAGGGCTAGGGACTGGGAAAGAGGAATCTGCTGAGCACCAGGCACTGTGTGTGAAGGAGGGTCTGCAGCAGGCGAGATGGGGAAGCTGAGCCAGCCCTTTCTGCCAGGCACTGCCTCAAGAAACAGTAGTAATAACAACTCCCTTTTTTTTACGGGGGTAAATCTCTTTCATCAGCAACATTTGGTTGCAGAACACGTGCATCTAGCCATACATCCAGTGGTCACCACACTCAGGTATCTGCTATTAAGGCTTTGAAGGAAATCTGCAGAATTTCTTTACATTTGAGAGTCTCACTGTTGACAGTAGTCATGCTGCTGAGGAAGAGTTAATTAAAAGACACAATGAACATCTGACCCATAGTATTAAAATAAAAAATCCTGAAGCAGCTGGTAGACTCTGGGAGAGCACTGGCAGCATGAGCACCAGCTCAAACTCCTGTTTCGCTTGGGCAAAACATTGTATTTCATTTTTCTGTATGCTCACAAGAACTGTCACAAAACTGTAAGCCTTAGAAACCCACACCAACTCATTGTAATGAATCAAGCTTTTATATTTCCTTCTTAACTTTGCAATAAAGAGCTTTTTTTTTTTCCCCCTTCACAAATATCAGCCGCCAGATTTTTGCAGGAATTCTGAACCCACATTAAAGCCTCCCCCCACCATGCAAAAACTTTTGATAACAAGCATGCTCACGTGGCTCAATCCAGCCATTGCCTCCTAATTTTTAATTAAAAGGAAGAGATTGAAGAAAAGCGATGGCTCAGGGGAATGAAACAGGGATCTGGCTACAGTCCAAGGCCTGAGTCACAAGTTCATATCTCCATCTTCTGCCTTGATCCCATGGCTCTTTTGCATACCGACAGAAAACAGATATGCGTTTTTGTTTCCAATTTATAGCAGGAGCTGTCTCAGTTTAGAGTCAAGCACTGTCAGCGTGGTGGAGGATCCAAAGTTATTTTAACTCCTTCCATCCAGTGATTATATTTTAATGCTGAGCAGGTTCCTTTTAAACACATGCAAGGGTTAAGACCGGTAGTAACAGTTGTGGGTGGGCTTTGATTGACTTTGCCCAAGGGCTTCACCCTCTCACGGAGGACATGCATCTCAGCCCCAGACCTGCTCATGATGCACAACCAAAGTTCACAGGCTGTGGAAGAGGCCAACAGCCACCTGTTTTAGTGGGCTACAAGGCCACTAGCTATAACACGCTCTTGGCATGTCCTGGCCATCCTTTTTCCCCTCCACACACACGCCAGCATACGGCTCACAGCCATGGGGGACTCACCAGGACGAAGATTCAAGGCGACTTTCTGAGGCATGATCTGTGTGACGTCCTGGTGGATCTGGACAGAGCCTTTGCTGCTCAGAGGGATGTTCTTCACCACGCTGATGCTGCTGCTGGGGTTCTCAATGGCTCCGAAACAACCGTTTGCAATCAGATTCTGCAGGAAGTCACACCGTGACATGATGGACTTTGTACTGCCGAACTCCTGGGGGCGAAGAACAGACAAAAGGGAATGGGAGGGAAAAACATCAATCCCACAGCAGGGGCTTTGTTTTGATATGCTGGTATCTAGCAAATAGGAGATGTCAAGGAGAAGCTGGCATCATTTATGGTGGCTCTAGTCAAAAGCACAGAGCCTTGAGGCTCTCAAAGGGACCTACCAAAACAGAAATTCTGCAAATTTAATTTGCTCCGACCATCACTGCAGAAAGCTAAGCCTGGGTTTTCTACGCCAGCCACAGCAGCAGCACTTGCTCCCAGCCCTGTCTTGGGCCACATCAAAGCAAGACAAAATGTTTGGCTTGCTGCCTGGATGGCCAATAGTCATCTCTTTAGGTGCAGAAGGTGAGAAGCCATTATTTTTTGCATGTGCAGCAGCTCAAAGGAGCTCTGGAAAACAGAGAAGGGAGGACAAGGAGGTGGTGCCGAAGGAAGCAGAACAAACCCACCAACCCAGAGAGCCATGTCAAGATGTGACACTGGAAACTGGGACTGGGTGGCTCCAGGGACCTGTGCCTTCTTCCCTGAGTGCAACAACACAGGTCCCCACACAATCACCCCCTCTCTCACACCTCTGGACTGCAGGCATCGTCACGACACCATCACCAAAAAAATCCCGTGACAGCAAGCGGTCCCTGAGGTGGAACATAGCCAGATGAGTTTGATGTGGGCAGGCTGCCCAGGGCAACGTCAAAGGAGAATAAGGCAGGTGGGACCCCTCGGGAGAGGTGGTCAAAAGGCATCCTTGCACACCACAGGCAGCAGCTCGCTCGCGGGGGTGGGGCTGCCAGGGCAGGGAGTCTCCCAACGCCCATCCCCGGAGCTGCGGCCCTCGCCGCGAGCCCCGTGCGTGGGGCACAATGCCGCCTTGTGCGGGGCAGTGCCGAGGAACGGCCGCTCACACAGCGCGGCCTTTTGCAAACAGACCCTTTGTTAGAACGCCTTTTCTTCTTTTTTTTTTTTCCCCCTCAAACCACCAATAGGAGCAATTTGCATGCCCAAAACTTACTGCATTTTCAATAGTCAGTTCCTACTTCTTTCTGCACTATAACAATAGAGACAACCGCTTTCTGCTCCAGGGCAGATGGACTAAAATGACATTAAATAACGCAGAGAAGATGCTAGCGGCCACGCCAGCCCCTCCTTCAGCTGTGCAGCCAAAAACCAGCGTGGGGCTGAATAAACCTCACTTTTTGCTGAAACTCTGGCATGGCGGAGGATGGGGAAGCCACCAAGGAGGGAGAGGTTGTCTGACAGATCTCGCTTTTGCACCCCACAGGGTGCTCCAGGAGTCCCCTGAGGACAGCCTCAGGTGCAGGGCCCTGGGACACAGACGGAGGCTCTCTGCTGCATTTTCTCAATACAAGGTCCCAATGCTATTTGAAAAATGCAAGATTTGCATTCCAGCATGCAGCAGCAGAGCCCAGCCAAGGAGACAGCACGTTGGATGGATGCGAACACAGATTTCTTGGAACGCATCATGTAAACAGAAGAACTTCCAGAAACAAGGACTGGGACTATTTAAATCATCTCCAGCATGACAAAATAAAAATCAGAATCCCTCACAAAACTGAAAACAATGTTCAGCCTTTCAAAACAGCACATTTAGGGCAGCCTTGGAGAAAAGTTTATCTTGGATGTGGTTTGACTTGAAGCCAGTGAAAAGCTGCTGGGGTGCAGGTGGTCTCCTGGTCTGGTCCACCCAGCAGCAGAGCACCCACAGGGAGATGCTCTTCTGGACCACAGCTCCAGGTGAGCATTTCTGCCAGCTCATTTCTGCTGCCACCTATTAGAAAGGACATTCTGGTTGTGTAAAAAGCAACACAAACAGCTCCAGGAGCACAGATGAGTGCCTTTGGTTAGTCCCCAGGAATTAACGCTGGAGACAAGTATCCAAGGTGGACAATATTTAGGGCTGCTCGTGCAACTGCAGCCTTTATCAGGTGTTTCCAATCCTCCCCGGGGTCTGCTCCAAAGCCTCTTGATGCGAACGGAAAGACTCAACTTCAAAGGGCTTTGAATTAGGGCTTAATTTTCTGGCTGGGGCTGGGGTAGCAGAACAAGAGCCAGGAGGGGTGGACAGCCTGGGGAGAGGACAATGTGGCTTCCTCCCCCAGCTGCTACTCTTTAGCAGTGGAGCTCCCAACACCAGGAGAGACAGCTCTGGGCATGGTACTATTTATAGCCACGTTCATCCTCCCAGCAAGGGGTGTACAGGAGAGCAGCATCCGCAGGCCGAGGACAGGACAGTGCTCAGTATGCAGGGCAGGGACCAAGCCCCTGGGGGATCTGCCAGGAGCTTTTTGGAGGCAGGGTGCTCGTGCAAGTGCAAGCCTTCCCCTTTGCACAGCACTGAGAAACAGTCCCTGCTGCCTTGTGTTTCTGTGCAGCCTCTGTGACAAAAGTTCTTCAAAGAAAGCCCCCGAGGTCGGGGGAAAGCCCCTGCACAGCTCCTCCTGACCGGGGCTGCACAAAGCTCTCTGGTCAGCAGCACCTCTGAACCCCTCCAGTCTCCAGGTCCCCCTTGCTTGACCTAGCTATTTTCTTTTTAACTTTCTTCTAAACCAGGCCCAGAGGACCTGCCACAGGGCAGCAATTGCTAAGATGCAGTTTCAATCAAATCCAGACCTCTTCTTGTTCGGTGAAATGCCGCACTACCCAGAACAGAAGAACCCCCGTTGGGAGTGAACACGGCCCAGGGCAGGGGTGGCAGCCCAGCACCCAGGGGTGCAGGACTGACCACTGCTTTGCCCTGGGTTTCTAACCCAGCCAAGATGACATCAGACAGGGGAGTGACAGTGGTCCCAGGAAACCCCCAGCAACTGCCACAGCACACTACAAACAACCCTCACGTGCACTCGCAGGGCAAACCCAAAGCCAAAGCTGTGGCTACCAAGTACCACCAAACTCAAGAGCAAAGTTTTCTGTGACAGAGAAAATCAAGGGTCCTGGAGGTTTAATGAAAGGAAGGATGAGTAGATTTGAGGAATAAAGATCCAAATAATTGCAGAGCAGCCATGCCAAAAGGCAGCCCCACACCAGCTCAGACATGGCACGCCATTTCAAACCCCAATTCCCCGTGAGCAGAGGACACCTCACAGTTAGTTAAGCAATTTGGTGCACCCAAATACCTGGTGACCATCTGAAGGCATGCTTGCTTCAGCGAGAAATGCAGCAGGTACCCTCCAGCAAGCAGGAACCACCCCAAGCATGGCTTCATGGCACAGAGAGGCATCAGCTTGGGAAGATCCCACCTTGTGCTGTGACTGCAGCCCCAAGGCACTTGCAGCCTGGCCTCTGTGCTAACAAGCTCACAAAAGCAAACACACACAAGCGGACAGAGTGAATGGAGACAAGAGTGTGACAATTACATGCTCATCAGTTTGACAGTTTTACTACAAGTTGCTTGGTTCATGCTGTAAAAGTGGAGAATAGCACTGACAGTATCTAACTGACTAGATCTAACTCCTGACTAGACACATCCCTACCGTTTTTTGCTTTAATCAGTTCAGTTTTGCATTAATTCAGTCTGAAATATGCCTACTTTCTCCACTGAAAAAAACAAATTTACATTCCCTCTAGGAGGGAACATATTTGATTTTCCTTCCTCATTCTCCAGGCACACGTTCCTGAGATGGGAGAGGATGGGGTGCAAGCAACCTGCTGGAAAACAGAGGGTGCCATTTGGGACATTTCAGTTCAATTAATCAAAAACGGAAATTTGAGTTTAATGAACATAATTAATGTGCATCTCTATTTTGCAAATGCACAAGTGCATGCACATAAGTAATGACTGGATGAGCACATGACGTGCACACATCTAACAACCTAGAGCAGCCTCTGCACATTGTATGCTGCTGCCCAAAGCAGTGAACAGAAGGTAACAGCGACCTAATGACATCATATCCCCTCACCACCCACTTTTAGAGAAAATCCCCCCTGCAATCACTCCAGGTAGGTTTATCATGAATACAAATGCCCACATGTCTACCACAGCCCACTTGGCAGCTCGCAGGACAGTGCTGAAGCCACTTCAGAGCTCCCTGCTTTCCCCAGCAAGCCCCACAAGCCTCATGAGCCTCAGCAACCTCACACTACTGCTGAAAAAAACAAAAATCAAGGGGCATCTTCCTGTCCCACCCTTGAAAGCCAGGCTGCTGCAGGGATCAGAGCAACCTCATGCAATTTCCAGCCAGACTCTTTCACCAGCACCATGTCAGCAGTTTCTCATCACTTCCAGCTTTTTCTGGAGCTTGCATGAGAAGCTGAGGAATCTCCTCAGATTACAGCATGGATGGCAAGCCTGTAGCAGTCTCCATCACCCAAGACCTGTTTCAAGGCATGCATAGGTGATGGTTAAAGCCACACATTTATTCCTCCTCTTTTACGTGGCATTTAAACAGATCACCTTTAAGTCCTGCCTTTCAAGGTATTCCTTCACGAGCCAACAGAATCAGTATCTGCTTCCAAATTTCCAACAGCCCAAAGACTTGTGGCTATCTCAACAGCCCCTGGGGGCTCCAGGGCTGCTGGATACCAGAAGCTGCTATCAGCAGTTCATCCATCATCACCCTTTCAGATGGGAGCAGAAATGCTGAACACAAGCAGAAGTGAACAGAGACCGATTTCAGCTGAGGGCATGTGACAGACCCTGTACTAACAGGTTAGGAGGTGGTAGTCACAGATTTATAGCATCTTGACTACTCTGCTGTAGGCATCTACCTACATGCATGCTCTCATTCTTACAATTCAAGGCAATGTAAATATAAGGAATTTTATCCCACTTGGAAAACCATGGGGACAGGGCTCCTTGCATCCATAAATTTATAGATAATTATAGACTTCTATTATATATACTTCCTGACAAAATTATTAGAACCTTAGAATTTTTTAGGTTGGAAAAGACATTTAAGATCATGGAGTCCAGCTGTTAACCCAGCACTGCCAAGATGGCAACAGCTGGCCCAATTTGCTCCCAAACCTGTTAAGTAAATGCCAAGGGAGCAGAAAATTCACACTAATCAGCTGCTTGTGTTTCTACCACAATATAATTAGCACTTGTGGAAAACACACCAGTATCTTAGCCCTGGTACTTAAACACCAGCAGAGGTATAAAATTTGACCAGCATATATTCTCCCAGGTAACGTACATCGTGAATGGCAGCTTGTGGAAATAGCTCAGCATAACAGACTAAAAGTTGTTTAATATGTGTGCCCAACGAGGCTGCAGCAGAAGGAAAGGAAATAATGTGAAATGACTTCACAAAGAAAGCAGATATTAAGAGTTTATAATATTACTTTAAAACTTTTGAAGTCAAAAACCTCTAGATATCTTTCACAATCACATTACCTCACCTGATGATCTCAGTTAAAGAGAAATAATTAGTTTCAAACAGTAAATTCTAAAAAAAAAAACTTTCAAAAAATGTAATAAAATGCAGAATTAGAATAAGAACTCGTTCAGTTGTAGCATGGAACAGGGACAGCAACTTTTAAACTTGTAGCTCTTGGCACAAAACACCTTGAAATGTATTTTTAAATAGCTGCTGCAGGGTAAAGGTCAGGAAGTATTACAGCACTTCCCTGTAAACAGGCGTCTTCCTTCTTGGCCCTGCCATTCCACTTAGGAATATTTTTTATTTGGTAACTCCCCTGTTTGCAAGGTAAGAGTCAAGCTGCCATTCCCATGGGCTGCCATACAATTAGTGGTCACAGTGACCACCAGATAAACATTTCCACTGGTAATATCTTGCAAAAAGTTCTCTTCTGATGCCAAGGAAAAGAAAAAAAAAAAAAAAAAAAACAAAAAAAAAAAAAAAAAAAAAAAAAAAACCAGCAAGCTATTGGGTACCCAGAGCTTAATAGCCCCCATTCCTGGATCCAATCCAATCTTACCACCGCAGATTAGCTGGCTCTAAGAAGAGCTCTTACAGCTGTTTACAAGATGTCTCAAAAGAGGGATCTATTGCTTCACCCTTTCTTTTCTGCACACCACTTGTCTTGGTGGAAAAAAATGCAGGAAAGCTGTTAGGCTGTCAGGCAGCGTGGTGTTAGTAGTGACAGGAGGTTTTCCTTGGAGAGCTGCAGCTGTGCTTACGAGAGAGTGAAAATCCAGTAAAATAGACCTGGAGACCCAGGGGCTGGGATAGCTCCTGAGACCCAGCCAAACCACAGGGCTTGCCCTCTCACCCCATGCCCATCTCCATGCTCATCTTCCACCTCAAGGAGCTGCAGCCACACCAGGCAGGGCTGGCAGGAGGAGGGACAGGAGCAGCAGAGGGGCATGTGAGCAGTGCCTGCATCCTCAGCTCAGCATCACCAGCTAGAGCTGGAAGGTGGAGGGTTTGCTCAACCACACAGCTTACCTCCCTAAAACAAGACCAGGATGGCCATGCTAGAGCAAAAAGGGTCAGAAGGGAACAGGAGACCATCACTCCTGGCCATGCCTGTCAAGAGGTTCAGGATCACCCAATGCTCTGGGGTTTCTCACAGCACAGCAGCTGCACCTGCAAGTAGGCAGGGCCTTTCCCTGCATCTGTAAGGATCCATATTTCTCTCTTAAACACTTAGCTGTTGTCTGCTTAGTGCCTGCATCTGTCCTATCTACGCATCAGACATGACCAAGCCTTTCACACACCTTGTTCTCTAGAAATCACAGGTCTACACGATAAGATTTATATTTTATAAGGTACACATATGTATCTCTGAACTCATGAGCAGTCCTTAGGGAGCTAGGAAAGACATTTGCAATTCCTCACAAACCAAGGAGGTCCAATTAAATTACAGGTGAGCAGCTTCAGCACCAGCATAAGAATGCATTTTCACCCCAAAGGGCACAGTTAAGCTGTGTAACTCCTCACCACAGCGTAGTCACGGACCCCAGAAGCACGGGGCAACCCCCAAAATGACACAATAGATTCAGAAAGAAAAATTGTCTTTGTTACAGACAAAGACCTTGAGCTACGCCAGGCCACGCAACAGCAGACACGTAGCAGGACAGCAGCCAGGGCTTGGGGCTTTTTAGGAAGAGAGCTGTCAGGCAAGGCTCCGTACAACACAAAGCCCATGCAGGGACCCAGCACCCACCCAAAACAAGAAGGTAATTGAAGAGGCAGGAGGACTGAAGGAACAGTGCTGCTCTGTTGAGGATGCATGCGGGCCAGCAGGGTCAGAGACTTACTTCCTACGGTGTCAGAGACCTGAGGAGTCACACACACCCAAAATACACTCAGCACCCACTGCCCTCACCCACCCCTTCTGGCACAGGATGGTGTCAGGAACAGGCAGGGCGGGAGAATAGCTCCCTTCCTGTGTTACAAAAAGCATGCACAACAAACGAGGTCTGCCCACCTACCTCCTTGGAGCACCAGGCACACTTGGGGTGGATGAGGAGACACTCTTCACAGGACGTGGCGCTTCCGCTGGTGCACAGATTGAGACCTTCAGCAAGAGAGAACAACAGAGAGTGTCGTGGGCTGAAGGGTTACTTCACTCCAAAACAGTGTTGAGGGGTTTCCTGAGATATTCTTAATGCTAAACACACTGTAAGTTCAAACAAGAGTAAAGAAACTCCCAGGAGCTTAAAAGACAGGAGAAGGCATAAATCCCTCTTCACCTGTAAGGAGGTCTTGTTTTCTTTTCCTTTCCCATGAAAAATCAAAAGGACAGAAACTTGTGTTGCGGGGCTGAGAACCTCTAAAATATGACTCTGGTGATTTTTCTTCCCTCTTTTTCATCAGTTTCTGGTTAATCAGAGAGTTCAGCTAGTCATCTTCCTAATGAAGTACTTCCATCACTGCAGACAGGTGGTTATTGCCTTCAGTCTGAGCAGCCTGAAATACGGAGGTGCCTGTCCAAAACTCCCCAAGATGCCAACTTTTAAAGTCACATTTGGCACATTTCCTCAATTTTTCCAGCTGAATTTATGGGGGCCTTCCCTCCCCAAAACCTTCATCTTAAAGCAGCCTTGGAAGATACTCAGCTCCCCCTTCCGCAGAGGTAATGCCCATAGCAGACTCATGCTACAGCAAATTACTTTCCATTTATTAGGCGAATCATTTCCACAGGATATCCAGGTGAAGCCTGGCAGGGTGTTTGCACTGGGGTGCATCCAAGGCTGGCCAGCGTGGCAGACCCCACGCCACAGCTGAGGGCTCTCCTTGCCCTCGATGCCAGCAGCAGCTCTGTGCCCATTGAGGCAGCAGAACCAGGGCAGCAGTGACGCTCCGTGCTCCTGGGTAGCCACCAGCACAAGGAGTACCGAGAGAGTTTCACTTGCAAAAGCCACGATTTGGGCTTTAAAAATAAAGTGGAGCCACAGAAGCTCGGCTGGAGCAAACATGAGTGGTATTGGCTTTGAATGCAGCAGCTTGTTTAAGCACGCCTGAGGCTATGAATGTGCCCTTCGATACCACCGATGCCCCAGCTCCCCCGGGAGCAGCTATTAACTTCTACTGTCAATAACTGATTAAACAAATCTTCAGCCCAGGATTCGGCAGCGCGCCTGAACACTCCAAATGAAATGCCTCAGGCTCCAGCTCCAAGTCTGCTATTTTTTCCAACCCAAACGTCAATAAAAGCATTGTCAGGCCTCTATTTTCAGCCAGTGGCATCTGCAGATACCATTGCACCACACTGCTGCTGGGTATGATCTGCAGACTGCACAGACTTGCCTGCTGAAGAACCACATGGAGTTTTCTCTCGGCCCAAGAATTTTCTGTCCCAAGAGCTTTGGAAAAGGGATTTTTGCTGTATCACATGTGAATATTATCCCAATAAATGAAAAGTGGTGGCTGCCTGGGTCGTACCCATACAGGGCTGGGCTGTGAGGGCAGGAAGCAGTGAATCAAGCCAGACAGCTGGAGGAAAACTGACTGCGTGCCCTAGGCTGGAAGCAAAAGGAGGCTAAGTAGGTCCTGACAGTAACTCTCAGTCATCGCCGAGGCGTGACCGTGTCAGAGCCCTGCACTGACGGGTCTCTGCTGCCCGCAAGGTGGTTAACTCTAACCCCGGAGTGCAAAGCCCTGGACTTGCTCTATGGCTCTCATTCAGACAGCCTGCTCAGGCTCATTCATACCGAACAAGAGTCTTCTTAGGGGTTGGTTCTTTTGCTGGCTGTTACCACATACCCAGGCATTTCGTTCCTTGTTCACATTCAGAAGTTATACTCCAGCTCTTGGACATGGCAAGAGCTCAAAACATAAATAGGCAATATGAAGTCAAATGGAACTTGTTCGACTGAGTTGTAATTTGCAGAGAGATTAACACTTCCAAAGCCTCTCCTCGAGAGCTGCTGCTCTGGCAGTGGTGCACAGGGTAACACAGCAGAAGTAATGGGCTTTATAAAGCAAACACTTGTGTTCATTCCCTGGCTACCCAGCCCTGGCTCTCCCATGGCTTCACTTGCCCATCTGCATGGAAATAGGATAATATTTACCTCCATTCCTGACTGCTGGATTTTTGAGAGTTTACTTAGTAACAGGAGTATGTGAATGAAAAAACAAGGTCTCCCCGTTCCCCTGGGTGCCATGACCAAAGCAGCCCATGCTCCTGTGGCTGGCCACGGGGTGACATTCCTCCCAGTGGCAGCTTTTGAAGTTTCCAAATATGCTTTTCTTTCCACTTTGAGGCAACACTAAACCGTTTCCAGCATTGTTGTGAAAGCAGAGCTTTGTGAAATCCTCCAGTTTTGGACTGAAACACGAGCTTTTTGAGTTGGAGTAAAAACACTTGCATCTGGAAAATCCTGTGTCTTTGTTGCACTTGATTCGGTGCAGCCTTTTCTGAATCAGGCAAAGGAAGGACCTGAGGATGGTCACACTAGACTAGATCCTCCCAGATGCTGGGGCAAGTCACCTGGTAGGACGGGAAAAAACTCAGTCTGTTCTTTGATTTCATTTAATGAAACCAGTCTTGAACTTCAACTAAACTTCTTATAATGGGGAAAATTCCATTCAGGATTTAGTTGGAATTACTCTGGAGGAAAATCCACCCCCTGGACTGGTGATCTCCACACCCAACATACAGTCCTTCACACTGATGCTGCTGAGTCCTAAGCCCCGCACCCTATTTCATTTTGCAGAGCAGTGTCCAGCAGGCACAAACAGCATCTCCAGAGGACATCCCTCCCTTCAACTAAGCCTCAGGAGAGCCCACAAAAACAGAGGAAGACAGCGCATCCCACTCGGCAGCTGAGATTTTAATACATCAAACTGCTGATGGAGAGCAAGATAGGAAACTCTCATGAAGTGTACTCAACAAATTTACTCATAAAGATGCTCCAGGCAATCAGAGCTCATTTTAAACCTGTTCTGCAAGAAATCCCAGTTTGGGCAGCTCCTCAAACTGAGATGAGTGTACTGGCTTGCTTGGGGAAAAAAAAAATGTCTCTGTATGTGCATATGCTTCTTACTTAAAAAAAAAAAAAAAAAAAGTTATGTACTTTATACAGCTAAGAGTGAAAAAAAAAAAAAATTTACCTTTGCAGTAAGCATCCTAACAACTTAATCCCTGAGACAGTCAGCTGCACTACTGAATCTTCCATTCTAAAGATCATACTCATAAAATAAGTGGATGTATAAATAAATAAATAAAGCTAAGAGAACCTCTTCCAAGATTCTCCAGGCATGTGCCACAGCACTCTGCAAGATGACCCTCTTGTTAAAAGAACTCGTTAACACATTAAGCACTGAGAGTGAGCACCGGAATGGTGGAGTCAGGCATTTTGTGGGCTCCGTTCCTACTAAAA